GAAACCTTGGGTGGGGCTTCTAGGTGGGATGGGGTGATGGACCTCCCTGCTGCCTCTTCTTCCCTGCCCAGTGGATGGAGTGGCACCCTCGGGCACCTGTCTTACTGGCGGGCACGGCTGATGGCAACACCTGGATGTGGAAGGTCCCGAATGGTGACTGCAAGACCTTCCAGGGCCCCAACTGCCCAGCCACCTGTGGCCGAGTCCTCCCAGACGGTGAGAGCAGCTCCCTTGAGTGTCCTTTCCTGAGTACAGAGGTTGGATCCAGGGTTAGGCACCTCCCTAAGCTGCCTCCTGGGCCACAGCTGGCAAACTCTGAGGCCTGCTCTTGGGAGTGCTGACCTCCCAGGCCCCAAAGCTGACAGCACCTCCTCCCTGCCCTGAACTGGGTCTCATCTGCATTCCCTGGGGCAGCATCTGTGCCCTTGCTCTCTTCTCACCTCTCCCCTTCCCCCATTCCCTTGCTCGTTGTGTCTGAGTGCACGCTCTGTCTTCTTTTCACCTGGGCCTCTGGCCCTTTAGGAAAGAGAGCTGTGGTAGGCTATGAAGATGGCACTATCAGGATTTGGGACCTGAAGCAGGGAAACCCCATCCATGTACTGAAAGGTATCAGAAGTGGGGGAAGTGTTAACCTAGGCCTTTGGGGAGGGGCTGAGAACCCAGGGCAGGACTCAGAGGGGAGATAGGACGAGGCCTGTCTTGCCTCTCTGCTCTACCCTAGGGACTGAGGGTCACCAGGGCCCTCTGACCTGCGTCGCCACCAATCAGGATGGCAGCCTGATCCTGACTGGCTCTGTGGACTGCCAGGCCAAGCTGGTCAGTGCCACCACTGGCAAGGTGAGTGGACCTGGAGTCTGGCTGGGGCTTCTGCTCTCCTGTATCCTCTCCCCTTTCCTTCTCATTCTTCACTCCGCCTCCCCTCCCACTGTCTTTCTCTTTATCAAAGGACCGAGATTCCAGGCCCCCTCTGATCCTCTCTCACTTACAGGTGGTAGGTGTTTTCAGACCCGAGACCGTGGCCTCCCAGCCCAACCTGGGAGAAGGGGAGGAGAGTGAGTCCAACTCGGTGGAGTCCTTGGGCTTCTGCAGCGTGTGAGTGTGAGCCAGGGCCCTGGCCCGGAGACTGGGCAGAGTGGGGGAGGAGGGGACCTGTTAGGGGGGCCTGTGCTGGGGCCCCAGGGAGAGGCAGGTGCCCCCAGGGAGAGGCAGGGCATGTGCGTCCTCACAGTGTTTTCCTTGGCTCAGGATGCCTCTGGCAGCTGTTGGTTACCTGGATGGGACCTTGGCCATCTATGACCTGTCTACGCAGACCCTTAGGCATCAGTGTCAGCACCAGGTATGGACAGCTGGAGCTGGATTCCCCATGAGCTGTGGCCATGGGGAAGCCCAGGCCTCTGGGGGCATCTTCCCCAGAGCTGGCTCCTGCTTGGTCCTTCTCTGTGGCTCTCCCTCGGTGAGGGTTGGGAGCAGATGCCTCTCCACTCTCCCAACCCTGACCTCCATCTGCATCTGTCACACCCGGGGCAGTCGGGCATCGTGCAGCTGCTGTGGGAGGCAGGCACCGCCGTGGTTTACACCTGCAGCCTGGATGGCATCGTGCGCCTCTGGGACGCCCGGACTGGCCGCCTGCTCACTGACTACCGGGGCCATACAGCCGAGATCCTGGACTTCGCCCTCAGCAAGTAAGCGAATGGGGCGAGGGCTGGGATCTCTATTTGGAAGGGTCCTTGGGGTATGGGAGGTGATTGCTGAGGGAAGCTGGGCCCGAGGCTTGGTTGCGCCCTGTGAGGCAGGACTACTGGGAAGCCTGAGGGTTCGCAGCCCAGGGAGTTGTCACTACCGATCTAGCTCCCACCCCAGTGGATGACAGTGACCTACCCAAGGTCTCACATCCCAGTCATGGGGTAGGAGAATGAGATCCATTTCCCTTGCGCAGTTCAGCTCCGTGCTTCTCCGTGCTGGGCTTTCCTTCCCTCCACTTGCTGGTCACATGGAGGTGTCAGCACGGCATTAGGCACTGGGGTCTAGCGTTAAGGATGTGCTGGAGGAGGCCCGTGGGTGGGCTTGGGCTGGTCCCCAGGTCATCCCGTCCCTTCACCCCCATGCTTTCTGTTTACAGAGATGCCTCCCTGGTGGTGACCACGTCAGGAGACCATAAAGCGAAAGTATTTTGTGTCCAGAGACCTGACCGTTAATGGCTGCTGCCTTTGCCTTTGTGTCTGGTGTCGAGGGGGACGAAGGGAGCCCCCCCACCAGCAGAGGCGGTAGGGTACAGAGGGAAGAGGAGGGGAGGGGGCCTCGGACTACTTTCCAACCCCTTCAGCTGACTTGCCCCCTCTCTGTCCTTTTCTTCTTTTTAAAGACCCAGCCCTGGGCCCCCACCCCTTCCCCTCGCCCAGGCCCGGCGGCCCTTCCGGGCCCTTCCGAGGCTGAGGCTGTTCAGGCCTCTGTCTCTTTCACTTTCACTTGCTGGTGTGAGCCATGGGGGTGTGTATTTGTATGTGGGGAGTAGGTATTTGAGGTTCCCGTTCTTTCCCTTCCCAGGTCTCTGGGAGTGGAAAGGAGGAAGAGATACTAGTTACAGATTTTAAAAATGTAAATAAAATATACTTCCCAGAGACAGTGTCTGTGTGGATTTTGTGGTGGCTGGGAGCGAGGAGGAGCTAGTGAGGGCCATGTCAGGGTGACGCTCCCCTCCAGATCTGCTCCATGTCAAGATGTGTCAGCTCACCCTCTCTCAGGGGTGGTCTGTTCGCTCCAACAATTGATTGCCTGTCTGGGCCTGAATCTCCCTTGTTCCACACGTCTGTCTTTAGGTTCTTTCCGTAGCGGGTCCGCCTGCCTCTCCCTTTCTGAGATACGGAGTGAGATAAACATAAATGGCCTTTATTCAGTCACGGAGGGGTCAGATGGGGCGGGGTCTCTCACCCAGAGAAATGGGAACCTGTGGAGACAGGCTTGGCTGAGTTGGATGGATGCTCTGGTAGGGTGAGCAGAGGCCCTTCCCCTAGTTCAAGTCCAGGTCGACACTGCTGGTGTGGTAGGCAGTGCTGGGCCCGGAACTGCCCCGGGAGGCCCTTCGCCGTAGCCCCTGCAGCCACCTTTGTGCAGCCGCCCTCCAGGGGGCTGTATAGCGCTGATCACCCAGCCCCATGGCCACAGGCACGGCTGCTGCACTGGCACTGCCCAGTGAGAGGAAGGACAACATTGTTCCAGGCCCCAGTGGTGGGCGCTGCTCATAGGCCAGGACCGAGAGGAGCAGGGTGGCCACGTAGGGCCCCCAGCACAGCACGAAGAGCAGTGTGGCTCCTGCCTGTGCCCTTGCCTGCCTCCAGGTGAGGGCCCGGGCCAGGGCTGAAGGCGCGTCACGGCACACTGCCCGCTCCAGCCGGCGGATGTCCTGCAGCTGGCGGTGGGCAGTGACCAGCACGCAGGTAGAGAGGACGGCAGCAGCACCCACGGCGGGCAGCAGGAGCCCATAGGTTTCAAAGTAGAGGTAGGGGGCTGGGAAGACAACCTGCGAGCTGCAGTTGGTACCAGGGGTCCAGTGATTCCACCCCAGAGCAGGCAGGCTGGCAAAGGACAGGGGGCCAGCCCAGGTGAGGAGCAGGGCCAGCCGTGTGCTCCCAGGGGGCCGGAGTGGCCACAGCACTGCCATGTAGCGCTCTCCGTGCACCAGCAGGAGGTTGGCGAGCAGGGAGAGGAAGGAGAAGTTGGGAGCCAAGTAGACGAAGAGGCAGGACCAGTAACCCCGGCGGCTGTGGCTCCACAGCCCTGGCAGTATGGGCAGCGCCAGCCCTGTGAGCAGCCCAGCCAGCAGCAGGCTCAGGAAGAAGCAGCCAGCAGGTGGACTGCGCAGACGGTGGTCACAGGCGATGCCCAGGGCCAGGAGCAGATTGGCAGCAACGATGAGGCTTGCCAGGGCCAGGGAGAGCACCAGAACCCCCTTGGGAAAAGGGCTGGGCCACTCCTCGGTGCTGTTGGCTATCATCTTGGGCCTGGGGATGGAGTGGGCCTGGCACAGCAGCCAGCATGCCTGCATGGAGGATGGGGTGCCAGAGTTAGGATGGGGTACAGGTTGCTGTCCTGGTGGGGACTG